CTAAATTCCTTTGGAAAGATAAACCCAGCGTATGAGCTTAAAAACACTACAAAAGACCAAGGATAAAGGAGGATTAGAACTACCTAACTTTCAGCACTACTTCTTAGCCAACAGGCTTCAGTACATCTCAGGATGGTTAAAACGTACCTTCTTAAATGAGCCCTGGCTAGATGTAGAACAAGCACTATGCAATAATCTAGAGATTTCAGACCTACCATTTATCAGCTCAAACATCAAAAGACATGAATGCTTTAAAAGCATCAACATCAGCTCTTCTCTGACAGCATGGTGGGAGTTTCTAAAAATAACAGAATCTTCATTAATCCCATGCAGACGTACACCTATCTGGAACAACCCGACATATTACAAAACAATAATATGATTAATTTTCCAGAATGGAGTGGTAAAGGAATTAAATACTTAGAACATATATTAGAAGGAACAGAATTTATTTCATTTGACAGACTAGTTACACAATATGGGATCAACAAGAAAAGATTTTTAGAATATCAACAAATTAAATCCATAGTAAAAAAGAAAATTAACCTCAGTCAAGTTGAATTACAAACACCACCAAGCGCGTTACATTTTCTTACTCTTAAATCTCCTAAATTATTGTCTAAAATATACAGAACACTTTATAAAATAGATGAATCAATATCCCTTCCTATTGCAAAGTGGGAAGCAGATTTATCAGTTGGCTTCTGGTCTCAGATATGCTTAAAACCTTTAAATTGATTAGAAATCCCAGTCTGCAATTAATACAATACAGAATAGTACATAGAGTGCACTATACAGGTCATCGGATGTTCCAGATGGGCTTTACATCTTCCAACAACTGCTCACACTGTCAAACCAATACACCAGACAATTATATCCATGCTCTTTGGTTCTGTCCACCAGTGCAGAAGTTTTGGCACGAGACATGTAAAGACTTATCAAAGTGTCTGAAATGTAACATTCCGACTTCCCCTTTAGTGTGTTTGTAGGGAAAATTGGATGATGTCACTACAGTCACTCCATTAGTCACTCCTAATACAGTCCACATGGTTTTTACTACCCTATGCATAGCCAAGGAAACGGTCCTCATGAACTGGAAAAATAAAAATAATCTTAATTCTAGCCAATATAGAAAC